AAGAAAGAAGAAGGGTGAAGGAGGAGAAAGAGAAGGGAGATTGGCGAGGAAGAAGGTGTCGGCAGCCATAGCCAATCAGAGGGTTGACCGGAGCGTTGACCGGGGTTTGACCACATTGACCAAGCGTTGACCAAGGCGTTGACCGGAGCTGCTGACCACGATTTTGACCAAGCTGGAGCTGGTATAATCTCGCCGAGCCCTCAGCCTATGCCCTCGCCCTATGGATGTGCACTCACCCTATGGTACTTGCTGAGTCTGAGTCTGTCTGTCTCTTCTTTCTGCATTGAGTCTCTTCTGTCCAGGTGATAGGACTCCGTTTATGAAGGATAGGGCCTCGTTGACTAAACCCACACGGGCTGAGTAAGGCAAAAGACTGTGTCTGACGACTCGACTGTCCCGGAGGACACGAACCCTCCCAAGGACCGGTACTGACCGGCGGGCTGCTCGGTGTGGCACGGTAGGCCCCAAATCCGAGCTGTGGGCTGCACAATGGGCCATCTACGTTTTTAGAGAACCTGCTGATCATGTCGTCCTGTCTGCGACGTTAAAGAATTCTTGAGGAGTTACGGGGGATCTCCTTAAATGCCTCCTGATCAGCAACAAGTTTTGTAGTGACGGCTGTAGTTTAGAGTCTAGGCTAGTGCCCCTAGTTGACAGGGTCTGAACCAGAGTGAAAGTCGGGTGGGTTTGACCGCAGGTGCTGGGCATCTGGGTCTGGATTGCAAGGACTGTGGTTGCGAAAGCTTCCGTCGGCCGTGGTAATCTGGCTGGAACAAAGGGTAGGATTCTGTAGTCCTTAGAGAGTCGGTTAGTCTTAAAGTTAAGCCGGGGGAGAGTCTAAGTGGTGAGGAGTGGAACCGTTATGGTTGTGCACCTATCACCATGGTTGACACGCGTACAGGAAAGTGCACTTCCCCTTATACCGCGGAAGAAGAGGCAAAGGCCGCCGCCATCCTGAAAGAGAGAAAAGAGAGGAAGGAGGCCAAGAAGAAGGCCTTGATGGAGGAACAGGCGGCGAAGATGAAAAAGATTGAGGAGGAGATGGCCAGAGAGAAGGAGAGATTAAAGAAAGAAGAAGAAGAAAAACTCAACGCGGTGGAAGAGGAGGAAGAGGTAGAAGAAGAGCCATTGGAGAGGAGAAGAAGAGAACAAAAGAGGGGAATTCAGTGGGACAAAAGATGACCAGTTAGAGAAAAAGATCACAGAGTGGGTGGCGAATTTATCCCTGGGAGAAGAAGAAGAAGCGTTAATGTATGTACCCAGGGAAGAGCAGGAGGCGGCCATAAAGGCGTGGGAGGCAGAAGAGGTTCCACTCAAGCGACATGCCATTGAGGATGAGACGAGGATGGAGTGGAAGCTACGGCTCATGAGGGAGAGAAAAAGGAGAATGGAAGCAGTGAGCCAGGCAGCAAAGGAGTTGGAGGAAGTAAAAAAGCAGAAAGACCAGATGGCGGTACAGGTGGACCTCCTGGGTAAGATGGAAATCATGGCGAGGAATATCGAACGCCTGACATCAGCTCAGGAAGAGCAATATCAGTTTATTAGAAGTCAGGGCATTGCCTTGCGTTCGATACGATTGGGATTCACAGAATTTGCGCGGGAGTTAGTGGTACAAGTGGGATCAGAAGTGAAAGTCCGCCTAGACAGTACAAAGCGCTATTGCACCGGTGCCATAGAGGAGGAAGTACCCCCGCGTAGGGAGCCCGTCAAAGTCAAGTTCCCCGATTCCTACAGTGGAAAGAAGGAGGAGAACTTTGACAACTGGGAGGCTAATATAAAGACCTACGTGCACTTGCAAAAGGTTTCCCTAGATGAGCATGTTCTAGTTGCCATTTACGCGCTAAAGGAGGAGGCCGCCAATTTTGCACGTTCCCTAGTTCGCACTGCGAATTGCAACGAGGATGTAGTTGCTTACTCCGCGTTTACTCCCCTCGCCGATTTCCTTAAGTTGTTGCGCGAACGATTCGCAGATGTTTCGTGCAGTGTCAAAGCCTCTGATAAGTTGCACACTATCCACTCTCGTCAGTGGAGGAGTGCCAGAGCACTCAAAGGAGTAATGGACGAGTTGGTGGTTGTTCCTGACCATGGGGTCACAAAGACCCAACTGGTCAACCTCTTCTACCGGGCTATGCCCGAATCGTTATGCGGGCACTTCTTTGAGAAGAGCCAACAACTTACCATGACCTATGACGCATTGAGCAGGGAAGTGGTATCTTTTGAAGCACGGTCCATGTCAGTGTCCACTTTCTGGCATAAGGACCTTGACAAAGCGAAGCAGTGGAAGGGTCACACTATTTCTGGGCAGATCAAGTTCAAGGACCGTTTGCTCCTTACGTTAGATGAAGGTAGTGTTGAGGAAGTCCCCTACGAGCAGATAGAGTGGGGGCTAGAGGAGGAGGAGGAGGACAGTAGCGCTAGTCAGGGGAGGACTTACGCTGCTGTCGCGGCCAGAGGGAGGCCGCAAGGAAGAGGAGGAGGCCAGGGCCAAGGGGGTCGGGCCTCAAGTGGCCGTTTCCAGGTCGATCAGGGGTTTGGCGGTAGAGGAGGAAACCGCCAAGCGGGAGGAAGGGGTAAAGGTCCCCCGCAAAACCGTTCTGGCAACCGTTCACCTAATAGGGGTAATAGGTCACCCTATAGGAGAGGTGGTTGGCACCCAGGTCTGCCACAGGGCCGACCTTGGGAGGATTTGGGCCTGGACCAGCGCGTCTGGCAGCAGCGTGTGGATCAGGGGCAGTGCGTATTTTGCGGTGACCCTGGCCACATCATTCGATATTGTCCAAAGTATAGAGAGGCCCGATGGGCTGCCCAACAGGCAAAAGGCAGCCGTCGGTAGGGGTTGCAACTGCCCCTACCATAAGGCCATGTGGGGAAACGAGCGCGAGCCGGCAAGAAACTCCCACACCACATGAGCCTATGGTAGAGGTTGCAGGCCGGTGCCTGGATAGTTGTCCAGAGACTGCTTGTGTTAGGGTCTCTTTAGGCACCTCCTTCACAGGCGTGGCTGACGAGTTATAGGAGAGAAAGCCCGTCCGGGCCAAGATGAAGAAAGAGAGTAAGGGACATCTAGTTTTGGTAGATGTAGAGGTCTTTAGAAGTAGAGTAGGAGCCCTTATAGATTCAGCGGCTACCCGCAGTTACATTAGCCATAGGGCGCTGAAGAAGCTGAGGCTAAACTTGAAAGTCCAGAAACTGGAAGACCCCATAGTTAGTGTCCTCGCGGACAACCGCACTATGGGATTTGAGGACTACGTAGAGGGAGTCCAGGTGTATTTCCGCCTAGAGAAAGATGGGAAGGTGGAGAAAGTTCTCCATTCCCTGACTCTCCTCGTACAGGACGACCTTCCTTTCGATATAGTCCTAGGTATGGACTGGGGAGAGGCAGCAGGGGCCACACTCCACCTGAGAGAGCATGAGTGTAGGCTCCCTAGTCCAACAGGCGAGGATAAGAATGCCCGTTTGTTCCATGCGTCTGTGTAGACAATACCCTGGCACATTGTTGTCTCAGTGCTCCTGCGTTCACACGACTAGTGAAAAACGAGAAATTAGAGGAGCAGGTTTTCGTAGTTTACGTAAGGCCTGTCACTGAGCCTAAGGAGGAGAAGCCCATTGACCCAGCTATTGCCAAGCTGCTGGAAGAATTCAAGGATTTAGTTGAACCGCCGACAGGAGTAGTACCACGGCCCATCCAACATCGCATTGAGATTGAGCCTGGCAGTAGGACTCCCAAAGGAGCGGTGTATAGAATGTCCCCGCGGGAGTTGGAGGAGTTATGCAAGCAGTTAGACGAGCTCCTAGAAAAGGGTTGGATTAAGCCCAGTTCATCTCCATTCGGAGCACCTGTTCTATTTGTCCCCAAGAAGGAGGGAGAACTCAGAATGTGCATAGACTATAGGGGTCTTAATGCTATCACTGTGAAGAATGTAGAGCCGCTGCCCCGTATAGATGATCTGTTAGACTGGGTGCAGGGATGCAAGTACTTTTCGAAGATAGACTTGAAGTACGGATATCATCAGATAGAGGTCCATCATGATGATCAGTATAAGACCGCGTTCCGGACTAGGTATTGGCACTATGAGTTTATAGTCATGCCCTTTGGACTAACCAACACGCCATCGACTTTTCAGCGTTGTATGAATGACATGTTTAGGCCGTGGTTAGATAGGTTTGTAGTAGTGTATCTAGATGACATTCTAGTTTTTAGCAAGACCCTCCAAGAGCACCAGGGTCATCTCAGGCAGGTCTTGGAGAAGCTGAGAGAGGCTAACTTCAAGATCAACCCCAAGAAGTGCGAGTGGGCAAAGACCCAAGTTTTGTACTCAGGCCACGTCTAAAACGGAGACGGCATTAAGCCAAAGGATAGCAAAATCGCAGCGATTAGAGATTGGCCTACGCCTCGCACGCTGACAGAGTTGCGATCGTTTTAGGCCTAGCGAACTACTACAGGAAGTTTGTGAGAAACTTTCTCTACCATCGCTGCGCCCCTTCGCAGATTGCTAAGGAAAGAAACAATCCGGAAGTGGGATAAGGACTGCACGTCTGCCATGAAGAAATTGAAGCAGGCGTTGATAGAGTATCCAGTCCTTAAAGTCGCCGATCCGTCCTTACGTTTCGTCGTTACCACTGACGCAAGCCAGTATGGCATAGGTGTTGTACTACAGCAAGACGATGGCAACAAATATAGATCCGTAGAGTTCATGTCTGTTAGGATGCCTTCAGAGAAGGTAGCGACATCCACCTACGAGAGGGAACTCTACGCTCTCAGGCAAGCGTTAGAACATTGGAAGCACTACTTGCTTGGGAGGCACTTCAAAGTGTATTCATACCATGAAACTCTGAGGTGGTTGAAGACACAGGCCAAGATGACACCTAAGTTGACTAGGTGGGCTGCAGAGATAGACCAGTACGACTTTGAGCTCAAGCCAGTTAAGGGCAAGTATAATGTAGTTGCGGATGCTCTAAGTAGGAGGTCAGACTACTTTGGGGCGATAGTCCATTATTTGGATATAGGAAAAGACCTGCAACAGAAAGTTAGAGAAGCATATGCGCAGGATCCTATCTATAGCGACCTTCTTAAGAGAGTAAAGGAGGCCCAAGAAACTGAACCACATTACCGCGCTACAGAGGGTTTGTTATTTGAGAAGACTGATGTAGTAGACCGCTTGTGCATCCCCAACAATGAAGAGATTCGTAGCTTGATCTTAGGGGAATGTCACGATAGAGAAGGACACTTCGGTTGGCAAAAGACCTTAGCCAATCTGATGCGCACGTACACTTGGCCAGGGATGAAAAATGACTGCATAGAATATGTCCCCAGTTGTAAAGTGTGCCAGAGGAACAAGACCACCACGCGTGCCCCTCTAGGTCTTCTCAGACCCCTGCCTATTCCTGACCAGCCCAGGGATTCAGTGTCCATTGATTTCATGGACACCGGTGTCAAGAGTAGGCATAGTAAGAGCCGAGTCATGGTCATAGTAGATAGATTTAGCAAGTATGCAGTTTTTGTTCCGTTGCCTGCGGTGGCACGTACAGAGTTAGTAGTTCAGAAGTTCTTTGATCATTGGGTCAGCAAACACGGGATTCCGTTGTCTATAGTTAGCGATAGAGACACCCGGTTCACTAGTCAGAACTGGCAGGAGTTGATGAGAGTATATGGCTCCAAGCTGCTGATGTCATCAAACCGTCATCCAGAGACTAACGGTCAGACTGAGCAAATGAATAAGCTCCTACAGCAAGTTCTGAGAATGTACATTAGACCTGATCAGACTAACTAGGATGATATGCTCCCAAAAGTAGCCAGTGCCTACAATAACAGCATGCACCTGTCCACGTGTCGCACTCCCAACGAGTTACACAAGTCCTTTAGACCACGTCGACCGTTTGACGGACTTAACCGGGATCAGACTCATAGGCTACCGCCCCGACACTAGGGAGTTTGCGTTACAGCACGAGAAGGAGTTAGCTACCGTTGTTGAGAACCTCAGGAAGGCCCATCATAGGATGATAGAGCAAGCCAATAAGCATCGTCGCCCGTCACAGTTTCAAGTAGGCGACTTAGTCTGGGTCAAGTCTAAGGAGTTCGCCCCTGAGGAGAATATCTCGCAAAAGTTATTGCCTGCGTATAGAGGATCGTGGCCAGTTCTAGAAGTTAAGGGCGGAGAGGATGGGCCATCCTACACAATAGAGATTCCAGCGCATCTCCACACCTACCCTGTATTTCATGCATCAAAGTTGTTGTCGTGTGTCACAAGTCAACAGTTTCCCTCTAGAAGGTCCATGATCCCTCCGGATATGAATGGAAGATACGACATTGACGGCATTGTAGGTGAGGATATATTCAGAACAGGAGGTAGAGGTCGTCCTCAGAAACAGTACAAGGTTCGATTCGCCTATCAGGAACCTGAAGACGACCGCTGGTTTACAAGAACTGAACTTCTAGAAACAGCTCCCGACGTAGTCAGGGCCTACGAAAGAGATAGAAAGGGTAAAGGTCCTGCCTTGGACTGACAGATTCTCGGAGGACCTCGAATTTAAGCCGGCGGGAGTGAAACGGTTTCCACCTTTGCAGAGGCATATGCAGATCCCGGGGTTTGATCCCCAGACCTTACCTCACCCATGTATAGTATCGAGTTGACCCTTGAGTGCTTGAACCCGTGACCTGYGTTTTATGAGTTGTTGTTTGTCTGTCGTAGGACTGTGTGGACATAGGGATTCGATCTGTAGACCTGTCGAGTAGAGGTCTTAGACAGYTCCAGAAGTATTAGCTGTAGATGTTCCGAAGGGTCAAAGTCGTAGCTGCTACAGTCCTGAAGAGGCAAGGTCGTAGCTGCTACAGTACTGAAAGGCCAAGTCCACGGTCTTCCGGAAGGTCCGGAAGTGGCCTTTCGAGTTTTCCTCTCACGTTTTCCACAGAAGGCCAGAGGCAAGTGGGCAAGTGGTGCGTCCAACTTCGCTTAGTCAGCGGTACCCAGTCCCAGTCTCACTTTGCACAGTCAGCAAGTACCAAGGGGGACTGTGTGCACCATGGGCCCGGTGGAAAGAGGCAGACCAACGAGTTACATAAGTATAAATCAGGAGGCAGCGCACAGCCATTCATTGATTCCTGCGGAAGCCATGCGGAAGCGCTGCCACGGTGACTTGTGCGAGGTGGTCTGCAGAGGAGCCTGAAGTCGAAGTGGGCTGAAGGGTTAGCGCMGCCATAGCTGCTTGTAGMGTMGAGTTAGCTGGCGGCCATAGCTGCCATAGTTARTAGTAGGTGTGCATTCATGTGTGTRCAGAGTGTGTGCGTGGGGTATCCAGGGTGATCYGGAGTTGAAGWGTGAAGCGAACAGTGGTGTTGGACACAGAGACAAGAGTTGCGATGTGTGGGTGCTGATGCACCATAGCCTGTTTGAAGYGAGCTTGCATCTGAACTGTGTCTTGGTTTCCATATCTTCGAGCTTTGAGTTGGGCGCTATGCGCCAGTGTGATTCACCATCTGTTTGTATGCATGTGAAGTGACGAAGTATGCGAGTCTGATTGCATCTGTGACACCCTCTTTAACTTCTCAAAGTGAAAACGTGGTCGTGCATGATGCTGTCCCAGCAACCGCTTGGGGCTAGGACTGCATTTGCAATGAACCCAATCTGAAGATAAGCTCGTCAATGTCGGAACACAGAATCACAGCGCAGGTTTTTTTTTTTTTTGTTTGTTTTTTTTTTGACAAAACAGGTCCTTATGGTCTGGCTCCTTTCCATTCTCGGGAACGTCAGCCCGGTTACTATTCCCCCGGCAAGTCAAAGGATTTACTACACTCATGCTTCCATCCGTCAGGCCGAAGGATCCCTGACCAGCATTGATTTCTCCTGCTAAGGAGGATTGACTGTCAGCTTGCCCATGTCGCTTGTTCCTCTCAGGCTTCTATTCGGAGCCTATCAAATAATTCCTTGCACAATGAGAACAGCGAAAGGGTCCGCTACAAGCTATGTTGTTTGTCATTGTACTTCTCTGTGTACCCTATGAGTACTGTTGTTGATCGCAGTTCCGACCCTTCTGCCAGGTAGCATGGTGAGGCCCAATAGTCATTGTGGTATAGCCTGGTACCATTTCTTCCATCTCAATCTGTTATCTACTATCGTAGCCACCTTGCCCTTCAGCAGCCATTCTCTCTCGAATGTCTGCTTCCTGGTTGCATGTCTTTCTGGTGTGTGTTGCGTAGAGGTCGCTATTCTCCGCCATCTGCTCCTGATTTCCTTCTCTGCCATGCTCAGTAGTAGAGACCACATTTCTTCCTTTGCCACCTCTGTTCCCTCAATTGTCCGGGTGCACCTGCGCTTCCATATTACCCACAGTGCCAATTTCCTGAGCAGGAGGAACCAGACTTCCCTGCTGCCCTTGATGTTGCTGGGAGTGTTAGATAGCAGTAAGATGGAGAGGGTAGGGATGTTGGGGGGGAGGTGTTGAGAACAGGGTCGACCACAGCTCCCAGATCTTCTTCCAGATCCATGTTGCTTCTGGACAAGATAGGAGGCAGTGGGGGATGTCCTCGGGTGAGTTGTGCTTGCACATTGAGCAGCATTCCGAGCTCTCTGGGTCAGAATGCTTCCTTCTTGCACGTAGCCATTGGTTGACGGGAAGGGTTGTTTGTGCTATCAGCTATTGCATGCTGCGTATTCGGTTTGGGCGGATAAGAAGGTATTTAGTCCATGAGATGGTGATGGGGGTCGCAGGGTCAAGGTGAAGGATGGTTCTCCACTTCTCCGCCAGCCTTGGGTTCGGGTCAGTGGATTTTAGTCCGAGGTTATAGCCGAACTTTACATCATATTCCGTTATCGCCCTTGGATTACCAGTGGTGCCCAGGTCACATATCCACTCCTTTGGGTCGAATTCTAGGTCCTCGATGCTGAGTTCCGCCTGGAAGATGAGCCAGGGTTTCTTGTGTGAGACTCTAACCTTCCTTAGCAAGAAGGTTTCAATTTGTTCATGTTGTGGCGCTTTGTTTAGGGCCTCTAGTTTGTATAGGTTATGTCTGGCGATGGGGTAGGAAATGAAGTTGGCCTGGTAGTTAGTTGGGTGCGGTTTGGACATGAACCGGCAGTCTCTTGTTGGCAGGGACTGTGCGGTGAGTAACCCCCAGTCGCCTGGTTTCCACGTGTGTGTTTCTTTTAGGAGGGTCGTCCATGAGGGGGGGATGTTGTGGTGAATTTTCGATAGGCTGCTGGACAGCGAGTGACAACCCTTTAGGGTGGTGCGCTGATCCTGTTCGTTAAGCCACTCTTGTCGGTCTTCGGACTGCAAATGTTTGATCTGCCATACACCTCGTTCTACCCATGAAAGCCATCTGCGGTCTTTGGGTCGGAAGGTCCAGGGCTCGCCCTC